AGCCAGTTTTTAACCCACAGGAGGGTGTGCCGATCCAGGCCAGCAGTTACCAGTTTCGGAACCAGAACACTATGAGAAACTGTATCAAAGGCTTTTCTAAGGTCAACGAAAACTACATCCACAGCCCTTCCCTCGTCAACCAGGAGGGTCACCCCATCATAGAAAGTGATCAGGTTTGATTGGCAAGACCTGCCTTTCATAAACTCATGTTGACTGGGCCTGATCACCCGGTTAACCTGTATGTGCTCATTATCCTTGAGAGGCAAGTTAAGTTATCCTCGGTTTTGCTTTCAAAAGTAAAACAGACACAAAGAGATCAAATGCCTCTCAAGGGCTCAGAGCAAACTCAGTTGTGTTTACACCAAACACCAGAACAAACTAATATTTACATGAGTAGGGTTACTCAGTCCACTTCCCCAGATACAATGTCTGCCGAAAAAACTTCAGGAGACTACAGAGAACATTGCTCAGTTTGTATTCAAAATCAAGTAACAGACCAACCTAGAAATATTACCACTGATAAAAACACATGGTAAGAACTTGCAGAACTGATTTCTCTCTGTGTACAGATACAGCCTGTTAAGGCAGTTTGCGATCAATAGACAGAAATAGCTGTGTAGCCCTTGAGAAGGAAATGGGACAGTCCATAAACTGAGAGTGAAAGAGGGCACAAGCTGAGAAATGAAAGAAGCAAGAACAACAAAGAGCAGCAAAACAATCTTATTAAGAAAAAAAGTAAAAAGAGGAAAGAAAGGGAGTTTGGCGGACCTATGCTACCTCACAGCTGGAATAACTGTACATCTGGAATTTACAAGACTTCATCTTTCCAATTACTCTCAAACTACAAACCGATAACAAGCGTTTATTTTACGCATTCACAAGTCTACTGGTTTGATAACGGCCTCTTTTTCCAGCCTTGCTGACAACCACAAACTTTTGTTTATTATTGCTTTTTCTTCTTCCAACTTCTTTTGGAGCTCAGCTTTTTATTCTCAGTATCTTTTAATATTGATACTAAACGTAACATTGTCCCTGACATTAAGTTTTACCATTAAATTTGGTTGATAGTATGATGTGACTTCTTACTAGAACATCTTCCCAGCTCCCCAGCTTTCAGCAACTACACAAATGAAATATCAATTTGCACATATTTCGCTGAAAATATAAGCCTGGTCTTTCAAAAGGTGTTCTCTTTGGATTTTTTTTTTTTTTAAATACTGAAACCTCAACAGCCCAGAGCAATTCAAAATAAGCACTATCTGCAAGTACAGTCACAGTCTAAGTATCATGACAGGAAGACCAGCATGGGCAAAGTTCCCTCTAGCATACATGAACCAGTGGCTACCATTCAAGGACAACTGGGAAAAATGTAAAATTCAAGTGACAGTTCTTCTAAGAGTATGTTCTTGAGCTCAGTGAAGACAGGTGAAACCCTTGTGTTGTGTCAGACAGCTTTGGATCAGAGCTCAGTACCACACAGCCATCTCTGTTTTGTCAGTTAGGGTGCTTGCATTAGAGCGACTTAACCTTTTAACAACTGTTTCAAAAAGACAATTCTGCCAGTTTTACTCTGAGGGAAAAAAAAATAAATTCTAATTATGCTGGTGTCCATGTCCTCATATTAGCATTATTATCACCTGTATCAGTAAGATGAGACTGGCAGAATCTAAGTCTCTGGACATGCAACTGTGTCCACTCCCTGCCATATCCACTCTGGTTATTTACACTCATAAGCATTCTTTCATGTTTACCAAAACAGCAATGGAAACATTAAGACTGAAAAAGATTTGCCTAAGATTACAAAACAGGAAAAAAGTAAGAACTGTAGTTTGTAAGAAAGGTCAGTTTTGTCTTGTCATTCATTAATGCAAATCAATTTATTGAAGCTATTATGTAAAACTCTGATATTTTTCTAGAAATAAGACACAGAAAATTAACAACTTCTAATCCTGTAGCTCTCAGACCATGGTGTCTTGCTTATGCAGTCCTCTACCACAATATGAACGCCGTTGTTACAAACCTCAAACACCTGAAAAGCAGCCCTAGTCAGTGGCATAGAAACATTGGTAGAAGAGAGAACCACCTGAAAAACTCTTCCGTTGTCACAGGGAGCCTTTCAGATGACTTAGGAGATTCAGCATACAGAGACGAGAACTTGCACCAAGTGGGGCTTTCCAGGTTGGAAAGGCATGCCCTTGTACAGGGCTTGCCATGGTTTGCACTCCTCAACTGAAGAAGCACATTGTCCTCAGGGCAATACTTTTACGTATTCTTAATCAATCACCATTACAAGAACACCTTGGGGCTGACCACTGCCCATTCGCAGTTCAACACTCCAGTTTCCTGCCAGCGACAAGACAGAGACACGCTAAAAGACAAAGGAAAGTCAGTCTGTACCTGGGTGGTTGTGTGGTTGACTATAGCCTTCCCAGGGGAGGAGGGTGCTGACTGCTGCACTGTGAGGATCTGCTGTCCTAACGCTACATTCAGTGGGACGCCCACCGTCTTCTGGGGGGAGTTAGGAGGCTGGGAGGCCACTGACACCACTGTGAGCTGCTTGGCAAAACAAAGACGCAGTTGAAATCTCTGTGCAGGATACAAGACCCTGTACATATACATTCCTCTCCTCACGAAAGTACAGTTCTCCATCAGTACAAGGAGTTCCTTCTGTGAACAAGGGTGCTGTATTTAATCACAACTCACGTGGGTCCAATCGTGCAACAGCAGCACAGACACATTAGAAACTTCAAGGCATTGCTGGTTTCCAGCACAAAAAGGCCACTGCAGAAAGCTAGCAATGCTTCTGGTTTTCGGTTTGTGGGGAGTTTTTTTGTGGTTTGGTTTGGTTTGGTTGGTTTTCTAAGAAAACTAGCCCAGTGACGCCTGACCATTATCAGGATGGATTTTCTATCAGCTTTATAATCAGTACCATGATTGTTTCATCATAAATGGAAATCTTAAAGGAAAGCTGTGGGGAAAAAAAAAAAAAAAATCTCTCTTTACACTACTGATCCAGCCAAAACCATCAGCATTTTGATATCTAATTTCCAGATTCCTGTAGAGATCCAGTCTTCTCATTGCATTTCTTTGGAGAGCAGTGTTTGAATACTCTATTCTATATAGCCATACCCCTTCAAAGGTTGGTTTTCTACTTTTTGTTTGAAGCTACCTTCTTTATGTTTTAAGAAACCTCTCAATTTTTGAAACCATTTGCTTTTAAAAAATAATTAGAAATTACTTACCTACTGTAAATTGAAGGTTTAACCTAAGGAGTCTTTTCACCCCTACTCATCGTTAATTTTAATTCTAGACTATATACTTTTTTTTTTTTTTTACACTTCTTCCTCATGTTGCTTCGCTCACTAATAATTCTCAAACACAAGACCTTCACTCCATTTGTATAACATTTCACAGCTAAAGCACAGCCAAACTAGAGGAATTCTTCACTCTTATGGTAGTTTTTATACATGACATTTAGTTTGCATGCACTATGCATCTTGCCCCCCCATTGTGACTCTTCCTTTCTCCAGCAACAGTCCTCCAGACAATTTTATCAAGTCCAAAACACAAGGGTCACAAGGACGCTCATCTGTAATACAGTTTACGACGGATGAGTTACCTTTTCTATGTAATGCCCACCTGTGCCAATCTCCAGCTCTGTATTTGTCAAGGACCATTGCAAGTTTCATCTACTTCAGATGTGATTAGGGAAGACTAAATTATCTATGCAGTAGCAGGCAATAGTTAGTAAGTGCTGATGTATTAACACTACTGAAGTCTTCTCTTGAACAGCCTGTTGACTTTTTATGAAGGAATTAAAAAAAATACTGCCTGAGCATTTGGCTAAGAGAGAACAGCTGCTCTCACAATGGATGCTTAGGGAATGGCAAGAAACAGCAGGAAAGGGAAACTAATGCAGTATTTACTTAAAACCACAGTAAGGGAGCCAATTGCAAAAAAAAAGCTAGCTTAGGCCGTTACCACAGAGCATCATGATGCACAACAGAGACTCAAGAGCGGTGGGATCATAAACAGCTTGTAGCAAAGACAGAGCTCTGTTCAGATCACTCTGCAGGAGGAACAGAAGGCTGCAGCCCCAATCAAGTCCTTACCTTATTAGGAGATTTGAGTGGTGAGATAGCTATTTTATTTGGTGTCTGTTGTGGTGTTGTACTCAAAGATGATCCAATGACTCCACTCTCAGAGATCGTTATTGTCTTTGGTGGTGTTCCTGGAGCAGACTGTGAAAGAACCCTACCTATAAACAATGACAATACCATCACTCAAGTTATCTCTGTTTACATTAACTTTTAAAGCCAAGTTTTCTCTGCATATCGTGCAATTTACCCCTACTTCTGACAGTGTATTACCTGGTAGGAAGGAAACTGGCATTCTTTAAGTTAGATTTAGCAACAAAGAAGAAAATAACTGGCATTACTGCAAATACATGAACAGTTCACTCGGGCTTACAAAAGCCAAAATGTACACTGAGCTTTCTATGACATTCAGTTGAAAATTCTTTAAAGTCAGGACAGCATCCTGAGGCACACAGCCCTCCAATACACCTACACTGCAAACATCCAGCCAGCTGGCAGTTTCCTAGGAACTCCCGGGGCAGCTGCCAACGTACAGAGAAAATGAGCATGTGCAGAGGGAGATACTTCCTTTAAAATTTCAGCCATCAGAAACAAGAGGTGTTACAGTGACCAAGAAAAAGGTGTTTGGTCTGTCTATGCTCAACTCTTAGGTGTTTTTTTTGTTGTTGTTCACTGTGTCGGTGGTTGTTTTTCCTCACTGCCTAACAGAATATCTGACATTTTTGTGAAAACACGGCAGTGGTGTAACTCTACAAACTACCTGCTTTCAGAACTGCAAAAAGGTTAAATATCAAAACCAGCAGTTCCAAACCATGAAATAAGTCCTAGGTATACTGCAAAACTCCCAGAGTGAAAACCATTTTTTTTCCTTTTTTATCATATTTCTAAGTTTCTTTCCAAAGAGTACTTGACCACTGAACTTTCCTCTGCTGCACTTTGGCTCAGACTCATTTCTGTCATAGCTCCTCTGTCATCCATTCTCTTGTAGGATGTTTATCAAAATAAGAAACAAACACCAGCATAACTTTTCCATCCAAAACCAACCTGTGGCATAACAACTAAGTCAACTGGAACCAAGAAGAAAAAAAAAAAAAAAAAAAATCATCCTCATGGAGAGTTGCTGTCCTCTAAGGTCTATGTGCTCTAAAATAACCTTCACTTTTGTGCAGCCCAGGTAACAACACAGTTACCAGCAGCTGCTAAAGCCACTCGCAACCTGAAAAACGTCAGAGTCTGTGTGAATTTTATCATCTACACTGTTGAATGCTTTGAGTTTGTTTTCTCCTAGTGACAGCTTTCCCTTTCTCACTACATCCCCTGTGTGCCCCTTGGCATCAGCTTCCTGTACAGAATCTGGCTGCTTGTATTGACAAGTCTTTCAAATTTACAACTTCCACCTCAGCTTGCACAAATTCCCAGGCAATTAAAAACATTTATCGGATTCATAAAAACACACATACAAAATAAAAACACACAAAAGTTACAACTTCCCAAAACGATGCCAGCCTCTCAAAGCTGGCAAGCTGTGCCAATTGTTTGGAATGGTGAGAGGAAAGGCAGATGTTTAAAAAGTTTTCCCTCTCAATTAGAGAAGCATCTTCACCTCCCAGAGATGCTTTTCTCCCAGGCTCAGGGATAGGTACTCTTGATTTTCTAACATATGGATTTAAAAGCTGAGAGTTTGTTTATTTTGTAACATATTTGCCTCTCAATATTGTGTAGTTATGTTTTGATTTGGACATTTCCCTTCATTTTGGAGGCAGCCAACTTAAAAACATGCTCTTGTTAGCATTATTTTTGTTGTGGTTCCTTACTGTGTTCCAATTTTCATGTGTTGCCAGATGAAAATGTAATGCAGCTCCAAGCAGCTTGTTTCAGAGTTTTTAATGTTTTGAGGTTGGTTTTTCGTTTGGTTGGTTTTTGAACACACAAAGAGCTTAATTCAAATATTTATAAACATAGTGAACAATCTTATTCGCAAGTCGTACATTTGGTAGAGAATTGTTTGAGAAAGGAGAGGAAAACTGGAGAGTGGGATGGGGAATCCCTCTTTCACTTGAAACACAAGTTGGGCTTCAGGGTGCAGGCAGTCTGATGAGTCAAGGAAAAGATTATGTTTCAGTTATGTGCCATTCACTTGTATCTATCAAAGTTCTGAATACAGGAGACAGTTGCATTCTTTTCAAAACCAGCTCAAGCCCCAGTTCTGTAAAAGCTTAACAAATTCATTCAAACATGTGGAAAAGATTTTAGGTCTACTTGGGCTGGTCAATCTGGAAGCAGTTGAAGACATCCTTCAAAGCTCTGAAAACGAACTCTGGCTTCCTACATTTGTCCTTTTGAGATAACTTACACGTCTCAGATGTTACTTGCATACATGCAATGATGCGTTTAGCAAGGGACACATCAGTTCCACTACCATAATAAACAAATCATTACACTAGTCTTTTTCTTTAATTTTTTTTTGGTCATAGATTTGTTTTCCAAAGAAACAAACCATTTATTTGCCTTACTTTTAGACTCTTCTGCAATGCTTATTTTCAAAGTAGGTGAGCAACTTAACAGAAACAACACATCTTTATTCACTTTTTTTCACTCAAACATTTTTGCTATTATTTGAATGTATTACATTTAAGTCCAACTATAAGCAGATTAAAGTAATACAAGAGCATGTCTCCTTTTCCCCCTGTGTATTTATATAATTTATCTACAAACACGTTTTATTTCTCGAGTACCCTTTTCTCTGGCTGTATTTTTTTTCCTTCCCAAAATCCAGAAAGTAAAAGCATCTTACAGTAAAAGCAAAAATCGAACTCTACAATCACAAAGATAATTCTAATTGAGCCAAGTGTAAAGGTACCAACTGCGTTTATCTGCTTCTACCTACAAAATTCAGATTTTTTTTTCCTTCAATTGCTTGAGGTACTTCAACAGAAACTATAGTAAAATCATCAAGACAGAAAAATTTCTATAATCACCATCTCTTTGAACAGCTTTTACAAACTGGTAAAGCAAAACAATTCAAAATAGTACAACCTGCAATGACTGGTGACACTTGAGTGGTCTGCCCTGTAACAGCTTTGCTATTGATTGGTTTTGCAAAGATCAGCTTGGTGATCACCGGGCCAGAAGTTGGGGTTCGGGTCTTCTTTGCAATCTGAAAGATGGAAGAAAAAAAGATCTAAAATAACTTGAGCATTTTGGATCTAAATTATTGCATTGTTCAGTACATTAGGAAATAAAAAGGGCAATACTCACACACATAATTAGAAGAATAATTGCTTGTCTCACGTTTCACCTCCATTTCTCACTATGTAGTGAACTAGGATATCATCCATGCCACTTTAGAAAACCAGCCACCAATGCAAGATAGACAAACCCTTTACAGCTTTTTCATGAGACACCTCTCTGTGCAAACACAACTCATCTTCAAGATGCTGAAATTATTCCTTACATGCCATTCGTCTACATTAAAATGTTAACATTAAATGCACAACTCTCAATGTTTGAAGCTTTAAAAAAAAATTACTTTTTCAACAAACCAGGACAAAACTTGTTCCTCGACTGATTTAAATATGACAACTACTGCTCTGAAACATAACTTGACCTATTCTGACATAGTAGCACACTTTTATCCTGCAAGTGGAGAAACAGCCTTCTGCAACAGTTCTCAAAGTATATGGATCATCAGTTCCTGAAAGTTTTAGGTACTCACATGCCGGTACAAGGGGGTCTTTTTTCCCTTCCATCATCCAGTCTCCTGTAACACAGCTGGACTAGGAATACGTACGTGCAATTTGATGACACAGATGACTTCAACTTTAAGTCTTTATAAGCAGGGTTTTGTAGTCTTAAAAGTCTTAAGAATTTTTCCCCTTTTCCACACTGACAGAAGTTAAGTACCAGATGCATTTATCCTAATAGTTTCTATACACTAGCATCCAGTTGGTGAATAGAATTAAGAGGTTGAATTCTTTCAAAGACTATTTTAACCTGTTGACTGCAGAGGCTGCCTGTAGATGTGGAGTATTGCTAGGATCTTCCCTGAGTCCAAGTGAGCACACTGGAAGGCACTACTGAAGCCCTTACACTTATCCACCCCATAGGTCAGGCCCATACTGCCTCTCCTGCATCACACATGCCCAGCCACATCCTATGGGCACCAGCTACCAAGTCCAGCAACATCAGAGGCATGACATTGGCACCCGTGTTGGGAGCCACCTCTCAAAGTCACAGAACCACCATTGTTACTCAAGTAGCTAACCAGAGAAATCTTACTCGTGCAAAGATACAGAGACGACAGCTACTTTTAAAAGCATGAGAAAGTTGTGAGTGCTCAAGTGAAGCAATGAGCAGCTCTGATACCGGGCAGTGCAACAAAACAGACCTCATTTAAAGGAAGCCATGAGCTGCTCCACAGTTACAGTACAAGTGTTCCTCAGAGGAAACCTCCACCTCAGACCATTGGCAGGTGAAGGTCACCTGCCCAAATATACTGCACCCAGGCCACATTAGCTGCTTTATAGGTGGCATGCAGTAGTCAAGGCTTAAAACGAAACAGAGGAGAAAAAAAAATCTGCCTTTTTTTGAGATATGTTAACTAAAACCTTGAAACTTAAGTTGTTTGAAGAAGTATGCTTCATTCACAGCTCAGTTTACCAATTTATCTCAAAGCCATTTTAACATTTCAAGGATTCAGTTCTCTTAGCACATACACTGCTGATAGATGAGCAGGCATTTCATCAGTAATTTTTTTTTGGTAAATTTGCTCACATTTTAATTTCTGATAAAACTCCCCACATCTCATCTGCTCAATTTGAAATTTCTGTTCTGCTGAAATGAATCTTACCCTGCCAGAAGATATTATTGTAACTCAACTGCTATTGCTTTTACTCTCTGAAGTGAGGGCAAAGTCTGCCTCAGAACATGATTAACATCCAGCAGCAACAGCCAGCTCCAGACAACAGCATTCGTTTCCCAGTAACAGTCAATAAATGTGCTTAAATGACTTACATGAATACATGTAAAATACTAGCTACCTGTTAACGTGCAGTATTTCAGAAAAAAAACATAAAAATCCCAAAATGATAGCTGGTCAACACAAGCAGTCCTCCTTTCCTCAAACTCAATTTGCAATATCCTCCTCTAGATAAATTCCCTCCTGCTTTTTGGGTGAACTGTTTGTCTACGAAGAAGGTGGTCTAAAAACCGAGTGAAACCCCTCAGGGCTTAGGAAATAAAGCAAAATTCAAACATGACTGGTTATAGGTGAGGAACAGCCCTTGGCCCCCAAGTGCAGGCAGTACACTCCTGTCCTTACTTGCTGCCAAGCGAGCCTTTCTCAGGTTTTTGCTACTGGAGCTGATAACCTCAGCCACCTGTGAGAGCCTTCTAGGCACCAGTGGGAAACTTGCTACCCATTTCAGTAGAGACCAGAGAAGCCAGAGGAAATAATTAAGATGACAGACTGCTCCTTTGATGCTTCAGAAACAGCGAGTTCTCTGGAGCCCTCTGCCATTGCCTGTACTAATCACAAGAAGCTTAATATTATTCCTCTGCCTATGCAAGCCAAGCATGCTCTATGCAAGTTACTTTGAATTAGACTGCAAGAATATTTCCTGGGGCAACAAGCTCTTCCAGAATAAAGTTATTCTATTCAGAAGCACACACTTCCCCCTATAGAAGTAAAGGGATTTATCTGCAAGCATCTTTATTTAAAGGATCAATTTGTCTCTTCCTAAGTACTCTCCACTAAACAAGACTAAACAAGATGAACTTGCAAGTTTCTATGTCCAGACTTCGTTTTCAGCTGTCAAATTGTGTTCTATGCATACCTCATATTTACTGCTGGATTGAGTACTCACATAGTCAGCTACCACAAAGGAGCTAACACACTATAAATCCTCTCCCTAGATGACTACATGGAAGCTTATCCATGTAGCCACGTCCTATGTAATTTATATTCGGCGTAATATGAAAAAATCAGGGACTTTACAAATAGGAAAATGTGCATCAGAGAAAATGAAGAAACTGAGCTAGGAATGGGAGTTTGCTCTGAGGTTAGGGAGTGCACAGGTTCACTTTTCCATGGTGAGATGAAGCCACAATGATGGCTTAGCAGTTGTCTTGCCATGGTAGCACTGATGTTACAGACATGTAGATTTAACTGCTGAAATGCAAAGCCAGTTACCACATCAAGACAAGTTCAGGTTAGACTAGCTTAGTGACAGCAATGGCAATGGATCTGGACATCTGGTTGAGATTCATCTGCAAGGCTAAACTCATGCTTAACACGCTTGGACTAATGTAGTACACCAGCAGGCACATAGTTGTTTTTAAGCCTGTGTGCAGGCAGAAGCCACAGGCTGAAAGCAGACGCACTTGTCCAGTAGTTTTGTCCATGCACCCAGGGCAGTGGATTCAACTAAACCAGGACAAGCTACCAAGGGGCAGTAATAAACCTCTGAATATAGATGAAGTCCAAGGTCCTGCCGCATTTTACACCTCACAGCCTCATACCTCTAAAATTGTAATCAGAGAGGGAGCCAGATTCCAAGGAACATTTTGCTCAACTTGATCAATTATGCTTTTTCTCAAGTGTTGAGATTTCCAATGTCACAATTGGATTACAGAAAGGCTAACTGAGTTTCTCAACCTGCAAAGCTCCTACGACAGTGAGGATGTAATAAGAAGAGAGCTCTTTGTCACCTAATCTTTTACCAATTCACTTTTTAGCACCAAGTTCAACTGCTGTGCCACGTTGCATCTGAAATATCTGATTCACAAAGCCACAAGAGAAGTTACACAAGACCCTTGGGAGGCAGGGAGGCATTCACAGCTTCCTTTTCCACTCACTGAAAGATTAAGGGGCTTGTTCAGGATGATGGGGTAAATGCATGACTTAACCCGTGCCTTGAGTCCCTGGCTTAGAAAATTATCTCCCCTGTCATTCATCATAGGGCAAACCATGAATCTCTCATCTAGCCTCATATAGCCCTCTGATACATTAGTAATTTTCTACAGGGAAGAGCACTGTCTGGGAAGTGCTAAGGTAATAGTCTTCCCTGCAGTATCGGGTACATAAAACCAACTAAATATTGCCTTCTTGCTTTTCATTTCCACTTCCTTCCCTCCTTATAGGAAAAGAGGAATTTCAGGTGTTAACAATTCAATCTGTTTTGCAAATGGAAGCAAAGGTTTAACAAAAAGAGACTACAACAAAAAAAATTTACTCAAACTGCAATTAACTAGACTTACAAATGGATGCAAGTCCATTTGTAACAGCTTCTATTAAGGAATCTGTAGAATTCCTAATGACAATCAGGAGAGGTCAATCCTCAAGTCACTGTAGTTCCCTCATTGATAGCACAGGTCATCTCATGCAAGCAAAAGCACATCACAACTAAGTAATTCTCCTCAGTTTCCTGTATCTGTCACTTGGTAGTGAGTAACTGAAGCCAAGTAACAGGAACTGACCCACTCTTAAACATTCCTACGCTGAGTCAAGAGCAGAGGCTTTTTAAAAAGCTATAATGACAACCAAATCATTAATGATCAAGGTACAAAAATAAGTCACTTAAGAAAACTGATATGTTTCAAACAGCCATTATTAAACATGTATTCCACATTTATGATGTGGCAACAAAAAAGGAGAAAGCCAAAATCGATGCAGGATCATCTGCAACTTTAAAACAAACCATCTTGAGAGTTGCTCACATTTGTTTCCCATGAAATACCAGCCAGGGAACTTACCATTCAGATAATGTGCTTAAAAGTTTGTCATTTTTCCATGTGCAGTAAACTAGTTTTTATTAGTATACTTCAAGTTTAATTTCTCATTTCACTTAGACTGTAAAATAAATATTTTTCCATCATAACTTGCATCAAGTTCTACTTGTCCTTCACTTTCATGAGGTCTCATTTCTGCCTCACTGCCAACTAGTCACTCACATTTAGTTCTGCCACATACCAGATGAAAATCAGGCCCTTTGGGTCATCACCCAAGCCTTTTCAACACATTTTCAAATCCCAGCAGATTCTCTGTGGTTTCAAACATCTCAAGATCCATGCCAGAGATCGGGAACAAGATCTTAAAGTGTCTAGCTTATGATAGTATCTAGTCTATCATCATCTACTAACAAGCTTAACTAGATTTGAGGCAGGCAAGATATACCTTTCTGTTCTTTTTCAAATGCTGGAAGGTTTTTTCAGAGAGTTTATTTAAACAAACTAAACATAATAGGCTGAAGCTACTCTTTCATAAAGGAATAAAGCACTGTACACTTTGAATAAAGAACAACAGGCATATAGAGTTCAATTCAGTCTTCCTGAAAGCATGTAGAATTTTCTTATAAAATCAAAATGCGAAAATTCTCTTCAATTTACTGAATTTTAATAGCTCACTTTCTCTCAGGCAAATCGTAAGTTTTAGGCAGCATAGCTAGAGTTTAAGGGTATAAAACGGTAAAAGCATCCACAGATGAAAGCATGGGCTAAGAGTAGCATTGTATTTTTTAATACAAGGAATAAATGCAAAGGCTGAAAGCAACCATGTGTTAGCCAGTGAAGGAAACGGACAACAGTTGCAGCAACAAAACTGTTTTTAAGATGTTTCATCAGCATAACTCACTTTACCTGTACTGTTTTTAATTGCTGGGTCTGCAAAACAGAAGGCTGGGCGGCGGTGTTTATCAGCTGACTTCCTTGCGTCAAAGCTGAGACACCAACAACAGGTTTCACTTCTGACCGACCTCCAATAACCACTTTGATTTGCTGGCCTTGTACCTTGGAGTCTCCACCTTGGGCTTGGGACGTGGCCTTCTGCGCCTGTGGGAGCTGGCTGTGAGGCAATGCTAAAACAATAGGTTGGCCAGACTTGCCCAAGGTTGTTACAATTAGCTTTTGTCCATCTGGTTTAATACTCTGATTGCCTATTTTAATATCAGCGGTTTTGTTCAGAATAATTTGATTGGCCGATATAGTGACAGGTGTCTGAGCACCAAGTTTATGGAGGCCACTCGAAAAGGTAGGCTTTACTACTGCATTCGCGTCAGTTTTTGAGGTTGTGGTGTTCACTGTTGCATCATCTGAGTGATTGCTGGGTGCAGTAACCGATTCTGTGGTGACTGCGGCTGTAGTCATAGCTGAGGAGTCACTGGTGGAGCTTATGTTCACTATTTCTTCCAGTTCTGTTTCCATGGGAATTGAATCTCCCATCGGCGACGACACAATAACTGCCTCAATGCTGTCATCTTCCACCAGAGTTATACCGGTGTCCATTATTTCCTCAGGGAGCAAGCTGTTCACTTCTGCTGAAACCACCTCCATTCTAGCAGTTGTGGCAGTGATGACCAGAGCAGGTACTGCAATAACATTTAAAAAAGTTATTGGCTTCCAGAAAACATGTATTTTCAAAGCTTTATAATAATATTACCAAAGAAGAAAATATAGTAGCAGAATTTTTTTCAGACTGAAGGTATTGTGCATGCACAAGGGGTACCATAAAAAAAAATAAATTGTTATCAAAACATAACACATTAAGCTCCATTTACTCTCAGTAAGAATTCATATCAAACCTCTTCAACATGATCCATTGATGTCAAATCAAGGCACTGACTTGCCGTGACTACCAGTTCACTCTTGACAATATAGTACACAAAGAAGTAGTAGTTTTGCCCCCCCAAGATACAGGCACCTTGTTCACAGACATTTAAGCTTACTGAAATACAAAGCAAGAGTTAAACAGTTTTAAAAATCCAACAGACAACAATGGCTTTTCTCATACATGTCAGCATTGATCAGCAGGTTATCTTGCCTCAGGAGACTTGTTATCCATACCAGATATAACAGGGGTTCATTTTTGCCAAATCCTCGTTTTGGAAATCTCAGGAAAATGAACAGCTGTCTAGTGACAGGCTTTAACACCACCAAACGCTCAATCAATAGTCCGCCTACCCCAGGACCAAGTCAAAGCCCTGCCCTTCCAAGATGAACAGATAATTCCTCTATGCAGGCTGTGAAAAGAGCAGCTCAATATTTTTTTCCTCAATACTCACAAGGAAATAAAATGCCCAAATTCATGACTAATTTGAAACGTGTTCTAAACACAAAACAAAGAACAGCTTATCTGAAAGAAAACAGAATTTTCTAAGCTGACTAGTAAGAGTGACCAATTTATATGAAAAAACCTACAGTGAGATTCAAAGCCATAGTCACTTAACAGTTAAGAAACCCGAAAGACGTTGCTGGAAACAGTCACATCTACCATTCCCACTAAAACTTATCACTGTCAGAGGCTGAAAACAGGTCAGCTTAATAAGGCATCTTCCCCACTTGCTGACCCCAGAACGCTTGGGCACTGGACAGGTGAGCACACTGCGTGGGTATGCGTACACACTCTCGAGCACTCATTGTATAATAAGCTCAAGAGGACAGGATCCTTGCAAATTCAGTTTCCTACTTGCTAGGAAAAGCAGAGTTGAGTTATTCATACTAAGCAATGTTCATAATTAAGGAACTTTGCCACTAAAAACACCGACCAAATGCCAAGGTGGCATTAATTTCTCCAGAGTCATTGTGGTTCCATTTTGCACAGCAGCTAACTACAGAACAGCTCCATTTCACCCATGAGGTAGAAGAATGGGGAAAAACTCCCTGCTATTATCTACCTCATCTCCATGCCAAGCTCAGGAGACTGTGCTGGAGCAGTCCATGACCTTCCTGGTCATGAAAGGTGCCATCCTGATGCCTCTCACCTCCAGAGTACAAGCCGTATCGAACTGCCATGATACTCAAGAAGCCTGAGCTGTGAAAGAACTTGTTAGATGACTGACAGTCAAATCCACACACAGCTCACTTATTGGCAGGCATTTAAAGATACAAAGTTATCTGATGTCATCGCCAGAAATACCTCCTTCAGAAAGCGTTTCTCCCAAAGTAGTGCCAGTACATCTTGGAGTGATGCCAGCCCCGGTAACTAGCACTAGACAAAAAAGTTACTCCTAAGGACACACTAGTAATGGTATCGCATTGCTCTTAAAGTCACAGTGGCTAGCTGCACACAAAATCACACAAAAATAGCAATAGTAGAAGCAGACTGTTTCCGCCTATGTGAAGGCCACTACCTCTCCTCCCAAACTGTCACTTCATCATCTCCTCATCGACCTGCATGGGCTTGTGTCTTAGGTCTTACATCTTCAAACTATTTCAGACAAAAACCTCCCATCATCCTGTTCTATGCTGACAAGCACAAGGGGCTTGGTTCCAGAAGTTAGACTCCTAGGGTCAACTGCAATCCAAACGATGATTGCCTCCACTTTTGAAGAGGAGGAACTCATCTAAATCAGGCAGTGGAAAAAAAACCACCAGATTCAGTTATGTCAAATAATTTTAAATTACTTCCTTTTGGTTTGCATTTGTACATGGTATTCCCTAAGGGAAAGGTCATTCTTAGTATCTTTTAACAGTATGATCATAAAGTATTTACATATATTTAAGTGGTTATACAGTTGAACAGTTATTTATATTCTTCATTCTTAACATCTTACAAAGCAGTAAATATTTGTATTAAACACCTATATAGAGTTGAAAGGATATTTATATTAAAACGCACAGAGTCAGGGTTAGAAACAGCATTCTGACTTCAAACAAACCACTTGCAAATCAGAATTCAGAAGGCAAAGAAATACATTCCATCAAGTCTGGAATCAGAAACTGACCAGTTAAAAGAAAAGAAACGTTACACATGGTTACTGGATTAACATCTTACGGTTGGAAGATTTTACAGCTATTAGGTCTCATAATTTTACAGTTGGCTGCCATGAACATACTCAGGCTAGCATTATCAACAACAGCAGGAAAAGAACCAAAACACAACTCGCTTGTTCTATTCCTTCATTGCTTTTTGGATATGTCTGAAATAGATACATGAAATGCAACAGTGAAAATCTCATCCTAGCTATAGGAGAGGCTGCTGCCAAAGGCAGCTTCAACATCACAGCTGATTTTACTTCTGGGTATTTAGCCAGGATTTCTCAACAGTTCAGCTGTTTATTTTTTTCTGATGCTTTTATACCAAGCACACACTGTTTCCATTTTTCCAGCTCCTCTACTACCATGATTTCCAACAGCAAAAACATGCCAACCTCTTAAGATTCTAACAGCTTTAAGATCTTCAAGACAGGGTAGAGAATTATTTTAACTACTTAAGAAGACTTGAAAGTTTCCTTCGCTTCAGCAATTACACTTTGAATTACCTGATAATGCCAAGAGCTGTACCTAGAACTCCCCAAAAAGACGCATCAGTAAGTGTTTACACTTATTTAGCTTAAAACCTGAAGAAAGAGCAATCTAAACCAAGGAAGTGGATAAGTGCACTATCAGACCTAACTCCACAAAAATTCTGGGATTGGATTACTAAATAGATAATTTTAGCCTACAAAATAATGGCCATACAATTAAATTAAAAGCTCATGAACAAATTCATGTAACGAAGATTTGTTTTGAAAAAGACTGTCCCAGCATAGCTCAGGGCATCCAAACAGTCAAATACATATAAAAAAAAGAGACTAAAGCATATCATCAGCAAAGTCTTGGAGTAACAACTTTCAAAAATGCTGAGTACTGTTAGGAGTAGGACAGAGACAAAAGCTCAGCTTCAGTGAACCACCTCTGATGATCTTACCCATAGCACAGATCTCTATCTTGATATTCATCAAAGAAGAATATCTATATCTACATATATCTATATATATATAACATCATAAAGGGTAAAGGGCATCTATAAGGAAAAGGATAAAGAATGCCATCATTGTTCACAAAAATAGAGAATGGTGCTTGACAAGTACCTGTGAACTTCAATCTATTTTCTCCTTTTCTATCACTAGCATGTCAGTCCAGAATCTTTAAGAAATCAACACTGTTAAAGTCTTGAGATTGATTATATCAACACCTTTGTTAAAAAAAATGCAAAGCAGCCACATTAAACAGGAAAATCAAAAGCATCAATAGAATAAAGCACATTGATCTGCAAACAAGTAAACAAAAAGCAAGATATAAAAATGCCTGTATTTTACAGTAACTAACTGCATCTTATTACATCTCCAGAAATGCCCCATTTCACTAAGATAAGAATAGTTAACCTTCCAGTCTGCAACCATGAGCAGTTTGAGTGCAGCACTTACATGAGGATATCTTACCAAATCATCAGCAAGGCTACGTACTGCAAAGAAAACTGTTTAGAAATTCAGATTACTCAAAAATAAGGCTGCTGAGACCACCTTTACAGGACGTCCTGGGATGGTGCTGCATGTTAGTGAGCTCATCACAATGAAGCAGTGGACTAAGGGACTCATCACCATTTGTGGCCTCATTAGTGGTCCCCTCCCGTTCTCTTCCCAGTACACAGCATGGGCCTCATGGCGCTTAGCCACAGGAAGACTGGTATAACTTGACAGGTTTAAGAACATTGGCCAGACCTGTCTTAAGTCATTGGTGATGTTCATTTTAAACTAAATTCTGAAGTGTCACTTTCACCAGAAAACAGGGAAATCAAATCAGTAACAGCTTTTGTATGAGCACCTATCTCAAAGTGCATAAAATCCCACCCCAAAATCAAGAGCTTCATAAATGCATCAAGTCCAACATAGCCCCTAAAACAGCAGAGATTCTCTTAGGATCAGTAAAACTGTTGCTGCATGCTAAGTAAATGCTAACTGAAACAAAGTATCTTCGCCAGATAAAGCAGCTAGTCGTGCTTTAAAGCTGAGATAGATAGATAGATGCACACACTTAAGCATAGCACTATTAAGAGCCATCGAGGGTAAATACTTTCAATTTCCTCAGCTAGGAACTGCAAAAACCCTTAGAAAGAAGTATGAAGAGGAACAATGAAACACACAGAAAATCCCTACCCTGAAGAGGTCACCACTGGGGTGATTGTCCAGGAGACAAATCACATGAACATGCATATGTGAAACTAGTTACTACAACACTGATCACAAGAAGATGGAAATATGACCAAATATTCATTATTACAACACTTGACATTTCTGCTGCTGACAAAAATGTGACACCACCATCATTTCTTTTGAATAAAGGTGGAACAGGGGACTGTTGGTAGGCTATGGCTCAGATTTGAGGATTTTAAAACTCAAACATCCTCCTACAATATTCATATGAAGTTATATGCATAAAATCAGTATATTCTTCTTAACTAATAGAGGTTTAAAAACCATCACTTATTTCATTCCTAAATCCATTAATTAGAATAAAGACAAGAGCAGGAGGAAGTAGGGGCAATACAGAATGGATTCTTGATGATTTATCTGAGAAGCATGAGATACTGTCAGCCATGTACAATCAAATGCTTTTCAAATTTTTCAGCTTCTGCTTATCTGCCCTCTCCAATAGTGGTGATATGTAAAGTCCAGAAGGCTGCTGAGCTGAAAAAATCCAATTTTTTTTGTCTTCATACTTATAGATTAAACAGTTTAAATTTACCAGGCCTCGAGTAGTTGGATGTTGCCACAAAAGACAGATCCAAGTACAATCCAGTGGGAACACTGCAGTAGCAATTCATTCACTTGCTCCCATTCCCCTTCCTAATCTTCCAGCTCTTGAGACGGAGGAAAACAACATCTTGCAATTATTCAACCACGGAACAGTTACTAAGCTCTCCATGCTGCTATAATTGACATATAACACTACAAAATATTGACAAGGACAGTTAAAACACAAGGAGCCAAAAAACCCATGGAGGAACAAACAGAAGATGTTCTTTCTAGACATGCTGTAAAAAAAAAAATTCTCAAAATTCATATCCTATCGTCTTCAAAAGAGAAATGTTTCACCAACATATTGATATGAAATACTGCCTTCACCACAAAAATCTTAGTTGATCACACCCAAAGCTTTAGAGGTGATGCATACAACATGACTGCATCTTCTTCCTTCACCACAACCGCTGCTACAAACATACTTTAGGACTCAGCTATCCTGTGACCTATAGCTGTTTTCTTCACATCAAAATGGATTCTCGCCTACAAGGAATCACAACACGCTACTACAGAATTTAGATTACACACACCGAGTACAAAAGCAGTTCTTACAATCAAGCTAACAAAGATCTTAGATATAGTACATAACCCAAAATCCCCACGAGTCACAGAGAACCTTTCAGGCAAAACAGAAGCTAGAGAGAAAGAAGGAAAAAGCCACAACTAAGTTTTTGATGAAAGCTGCATGTCATACAAATTGTAAATGGTTGAATTACAGTACATGTACACGTGAGCATATTGCTTGCCAGAAAACCAGCATTTTAAAACACTCATCTCTAACTCCAGATTGGACAACCCCCTTTTCAGCACGAGAAAACATTACATTGCCCAAATGTACCATCAACTGCAAAACAAGATTAGTAAGAAAGAACATTCTAGCCATTGTGAGGTACCGAGAAGTATTATTGAAAAAAAAATCCAACAAAACTCCAAGTACTCGCCCAGAATCATTAGTATCTAGAAAACTAAAGTACTTAAAAGTCAAATTACTTGCCCATGCGTGGCTCACAGCTGTTACCCAACTCTCACATGCTAGTTAAATGTTCATTAAGAAGGGGGCAAAGCCATACCATTTTATTAATATTAGTCTGCTTTTCAAGTCGTATCTACATTTCAAATTTGTATAAATATCTATCTCAATCAACATTCATCACTTGGAGCATTTGCTATTTGTGGCTCACAGCAAGCCGAGAACTTAGACTTCCATGCCATTCTGAGGATGGACCAGGATCAGCAGGCTGATGATAAATCTGCTTCTCGAGAACTACTTAGTGCCCTTTAAGGTCTAATCCTCACCACTGCTAAGTAAATTCCAAAGTGCACTGAAGAGCAGAGGCATCACTATTATGTGAACACTGTCCGCCGATCTAGTAGTGCAATGTTCTGCAAAAGAATACTCATATTCTGTAATATCAATAATTAATTCTGTAATATTCTGTAAAAGAATATTGATATGTGTATATTTTTCAAATGACTGGCATGTTCAGGCTAAGAAGGCAGAAGCACAGAAGTAATTAGAATAACCATTTATGCTCTGCTTACCAACAAATGCATGCTGTCGACCACCGAAAGAGATGTCATACACACCTGTGCCTCCGCCTATTCTCTTAAAAAGGAGCGTTGAAGGTCACTGTCACGGTAAATTTAAAGTCTTAAACACTGCTTGTTTAGCACACACCTTACTTACAGCAACTTGCCAGGGAAGAACTGGAAATAACACTCATTGCAGCAAAATACTTCAAAGCAGTTCAGTTTGCTTTCTGTAACTGGAAACAATGTTCTACTTTCAAGCAGAGTTTCATGCAAACTAAAAATAAATCAGAAGCCAAAAATCAGAACATTTCCCTTCACCCTTCCCTTGGTTTGCTTGCCAGCTTCAGTCATTTCACAACATACAGTACTACAAAAGCTGAAAACCAAAACTGCACAGGTGTTGTTACGATCATTAAACACAAGCTGAAGGTGTTCACCGCCGTGAACAATCCACTATTTCGGTTTGTAGATTCCAGGGCCTTTACATCTAATGAAGCATTTCTAACCTTATGTTCTAGGCAAACTTTACGGCAAGACCAAAATAAATAACCCCTAAAATAGCTTCAAATTATTTTATGTTCTTCAGTGTTTAGGAGGACAAAATTAAAGCACTAAGAACCTGAAGTTAAAATCAATACATATGTAGTGAACTTAGCTTGACTGAAAAAAAAAAACAACTTAACAAACGTGAAAAGTACCTATCAGTAGGCCCAGGAAATGCAGATTTCGGGGTTTTTTTTAAATATAGCTTGAAATAAAGGTCTTGCTTTCCAAATTCTGGACGCCTCTTGAATGTAGGGCTACAGAAAAACTCAGAACACACAGACAGCAATGTCAAACCAAGAACACTCTTAAAAACAACAAGCATGAGAAGTGCCACCATAGGCTTGATATCAAGTTCTCCACAGACTTTTAAAAGGTGTTATCACATTGGACACCTTTTTGGATTAGGCTTGCTGCCAGCAGTTTCAGCAAGAGTGCATTTTAGTGCTGTATTTACGCGCAAAGGCTCGGCACAACAGAACTGTAATGCAGCAATTTTATTGAAACTTTGCAGACCAGCAAGTGCAACGATTATGCATTACATGTGTACTTCAGCAGTGCTGCCGAGTCAGAAGGTACAACAACAAAGTTCATTCTTACCAAAACAAAAAACACATGCAACACCGATTTTAGCAGGGTATTTAATTTTCAAAAATATGCTAACATGGCACAGAAAAGCACTTTGTCCGAAAAACTTAACTCCTTATGTGTCTTACGCAATCATATGACTGTTTTCAAAGGTAGAAGAATGCAGAGATGAAAAATAGATAAAAATCTAAGACCATAAACTGCAATGCTTTCAGGGTTCTGCTGTCAAAACTTGGGCAGCAGTGAAAGCTGTTATGGATGCTATTGTTTGTAAATTTATCCTAGAAATCTAAGTGAGCTTCCTTCATTTTTGAGTCCAATAGAGCATTGAAAGAAAAGCAAAAATAGCTCAAACAGCTATATTGCAGCGATTCACAAGAAAACATGCTTCTAGCTGTAGATCTCAGCTGCTCTACCAGCCTTAAACATGACAACACTTTACTTGCAGAAGGACTGAGCTCACCTGCAGGCAAACCATGACCTGGTTCAGATGCCAAAAACCACTATTACCCTCTCCCTCCCACTTTAAACTCTAGATAAAGCACCTCCATATTCCTTTTGGAGAAAACTTACTTAAATAACCAAGGTCATGCAATAGCTGACTGGCTTTTGTGGAATGAAATTCCACATTAAGATTTTGAGTCAAGAGACCAATTTAGTAGGAGAAATGGGAATTTCAGTGAAATCTTCATCTCTGCTCCAGAACTGTGTGAGCCACTTCAAATGCAGTTTTCTCAGACCTCTGAAGTCTCATTTATTGTCACACAAAAGGTTGAAGAGCTTCTGAAACACAAACTAGTAAGTTTCATTAGGTCTACATAAGAAAACCAACAGTTAAGCTTTTGGATAAACACCCCAACAACAAAAATATCTTACAGGCAGGACTAGCCACAGAGAAGCATTTCAGTGACTAGGACCCCACCTTACCTCTTACAACCTTTGTTTTCAATACCCTGAAAGTGACACAGAAGGATATTTACTGTATCTTACTCTATTCCTGGAGATGCTTTATTCCAGACAGCATACCAATTCTGGACTTATTCCAGAACCTGGAAGGAAGAGTTCTTTGCACGCACTCTCTATGTTGCTCAATATATCCCTTTCTGTCCTTACAGGATACCCTTCCCAAGTCAACTTCCATGGCAAACATGCTCTACCACCAGTTGGACAAGTCACCACTACACTGTCTGGGCTGAAACGGGATCCAGAAGGTTCATCTCATTCTTGGAATTAGTAAGAGAAGATACAATTATAGGCAAAGCCTAAATAGTGTTTCTCCTCAGAAAAAATTGTTTTCCCTTTTATGTTGCATGATCACCTATCTCATAGCTTCCCTCTTTACTACATCTAAAACAACTCTGCATAGCAAAAGAAGCTTTTGCGAACTGCCAATTTATAATTTGATTGGAGATTAACAATGTTATTATATATGACAGGACATTGAAGCTGACCTGTAGCCTTGGAAGGTTATCTGCTGTGACTCAGCTGCCCATGTCAATCGTTACACTGTGTTAAAAGCACCACGCACCTGTATTGAGCCGGACGCACCTGAATCAGAGGGTTTCTCAGCACCTCAGTAAGCTCCCCCAGAATCCAGCTCCAGACATGCACCCAAACAGCTCTATGCCAAGCTGTACAGTCTATCCAAACCAACTGAGCAGCAGCAATAGAACTTGAAAGTGACTATGGAATGAGTTTGTGCAAAATTCTACAGCATCTGCATTATCGAGGGTAGCCTAGGTTCTTACTATCTGGACAATTAACAGGTAACTCTCTTCCAAGGACAAAGCTTATT